TTCGAACTGCTGGGTTGGCAGGAGCAGGGACTGAGCAACGGGAGCTCACCCCGTAGCGGGGATTCGAACCACCGACCTTCCGATCGGCAAGTCCTAGGCTCAGTGGTTTAGACCACAGCGCCACCCACTTTAAAATGCAGTGAGCCAGCCTTGCTGCATATGGGGGACCCCCTCAACACCTGACCTCAAAGTGTTATGCAAAAGAGGCTCCAACGAAAAGCAAACATTATACCAGAGTGTGGGCCAGTTCATACCATTAGCAGGAAAAAGTAGAAAAGCTTTTTTTGGCTGAAGCACTTCAGGCTTCAGCCTAGTCTGAACTCTTGTCCCTGGCATGCTAGTTTTGTACTTTCTTCCCACGGGTTTTTTAGGCATGTCACTTAACCTTCAGCTTCAAGAATGTTGGTGAAGACTTACGTCTTGAGTCTGCTGACTGTGTGGATTGGTCCAAAATCATTATATATGTTAGAAAAGGCATTTCTATAATTCTATTTGAGACCCCTATGATGAAGCTGAATAGCTGTCTAGAAGTACTTTTAAGAAGTATTTGGCAGAAGAATTCTCCTGCAGAGAAAAACAATCTGATGAAATAATTTAGGATGCAATCCATCTCAATGAAAGTCAGTGGGAGTGTGGTCATTGACTTCAAATGGATGTGGGCTGCAAGCAGAGTTACCTCAATGTCTGCTGTAGATCAACCTCAAATAGATAGCTCAGTAAACTAAAGCCAGCTGTTTGATCAATTGAAACAACTGATGCACTGCATGTGCCTGTGTTAGTGATTTGTTTCCAATGACATACATGCAGATGTATCATGTGAGCATCCAACCTTGTTATCTAGTTTTAGTTTGGAAATATGTAAAAGAGAATTGGTATCTCTTTAGAGAAATGTTGAATAAGCAGGTGATCATCCTATCACTTAATTGCTCCCTTGCCCAAGATTAACAAGAAATAGAATGTTGTGACAGACCTCTTTCTGCTCCACATCTATATCTATATGTATATCTATCTATTTTACCAGTAGTCACTTCCCCCCCTTAGCTCATTGTATTTAAACTTATACCATCAAGAACAACTTCTTTAACACATGGAAATTAGCTCAATAAATTCCAATATGCATCCATTGATAAATTTTTAACTAAATAGTTTGGTATCAATTTTCATAGAGGTTGGGAAGCACTATCTGATAGATTTTTCTAAACTGCTATTATTGCTATTCAGTAAATTGCATATGCCATATATGTTCCTATTTATTTATTATGCATATATATTTAATTTCCCATCTTTTAGAAAAATGCCCATATGGAACAGCTCACAATAATATATCAATTAAGCACAATAGATATATATATATTGCATCATATTTAACGCTAAAGAATACACAATCACAATAAAATTAATAAATAACAGTAACCCACAATGACATTAAAGTAGCATTCTGTACAGTAAAACCATAAAATCACCAACATAATCAAAGATAAAATAGAAGTCCAAATAAAATCCCTGAAATCATGGGGAAACAACAGCTAAATTTCCAAGGTGTACATGCTGGGATAACTGTCTTCACCCCAGAGTCCAGGATGAAGTCAAAGAATGCAGTATCACTGACTAAGGAGCCAGAGCCAGAGTCTGATGCTCATGATGGCTGACAGGCAGGCAGGCAGGCAGGCAGGCAGGAGCTTCCTGAACCAGATTCTGCAGCACCCATAGAACATAGACTCTCAAGGCATCTTTCCCTTGGTTAAAGAACCAAGTGCCTCCAAGTCTGTGCTGATCCAACAGCGCGGGGAGTGCACCAGACAGAAGGCTTGGAAACACAGAAGTGCCTGTCTGGAGGTCAGAGAGTTGGCTGTTTAAAGATTAAAGATTGCAGCTCCCACAATAAAAGTGAAGCCTAGGAGAGGTCTACTGGAGGCAAAGGCTGAAAAGCCCACCTCTAACTTTTGTTGGAAGAGGTTGCTCACTTGGAGCTCTCCATGGTGGGTGCTGCAACACCTGGCCTGCCTTGTCCTGTGGACTGGAAAAGGTCAGAAAGCAGCTACCAATCAGCATTTCTTTCCATGGTTGTATGTGATAGACTAAGCACATGTACAGTGGTGCCTCGCAAGACGAAATTAATTCGTTCTGCAAGTTGTTTCGTCTTGCGAATTTTTCGTCTTGCGAAGCACGGTTTCCCAAAGTCTTCAAAATCACCAAAGTCTTCAAAAACCTCAAAAAAGGCTACCACACCGCGTGCTATGAGTTGCTCCTCAAAGTCACCCTGGGTATTAACGGTTTTAAGAAAAAGGAAACAAACTTGCAAGACGGTTTTGTTTTTTGTCTTGCGAAGCAAGCCCATAGGGAAATTCGTCTTGCGAAGCAACTCAAAAAATGAAAAACTCTTTCGTCTTGCGAGTTTTTCATCTTGCGAGGCATTTGTCTTGCGAGGTACCACTGTACTTGTCATTTGTGATATTGTACACAGAGTGCACATGCAGTCACATACATAGAAGCAATGTCCATGTAGAGAAACTCATAAAAAGTGGAACAATGTTTGGGAGCGAAGTTGCAGGCCCAGGAAAATCAAACATGGCAGATATAACTAGCGAGTGCTCCAATATCTCTCTGGTCAACCAGTTATCACCAGATTTATTAGCTCTTTGTGACATTGTTGTCAGACAGGTCACCTAGTGAAAATGAGAAAGGGAAGAGCACTTTAAAAGATGTATGGCTGCCTAGAAGGGGGATTGCTGAATGATATGCACAGGAGGCTTATGAAAGCTGCAGAACACCTGGAGAAATGAGGAAAACATAGGGGGAGGACCACTTCTTTTTGAGACACTGAAATGTGGGATTTAGGGAAAGCGAGGCTTTCTGGAGGACCCAATGATAAAACGGCTGTTGTGGATCCTCTGGTTGACCTCACATAACAAACTTACGGATCCAGCTTTCTCACTGGTGACTTGGTAAACAGAATGCTCCACAGCTTATTTGCACAACCTGTAATAAGATTCACATGCTTTTTGAATGGTATTGGGTGGTATTCAACTATAACCCAGAGCAGATGTACTGAAATTAATGGACATAACTTAGTTATGTCGATTTCAATGGGACTACTCTGAGTAAGACTTTGTTGAATACCACCCTTAATTTTCGCTGGAAATGAAAATTAGCTCCCCATGTGTTTAAAGGAGGTAGAGTTCTCCCCAAACAATCTCTGAAACATTTCAACTGTATTAATACCAAAAGGAAAAGAGAAAAAATTGGATGTAGGCATGATTAAAAAAAAAAAGGATTTTAGGAAAGTACATGTGGGTGAGTGTGTGTAATGTATCTTTTAAGAATAAACTGTGCTTTATTTCTCTCTGTAGCATACCATATTGCTGATTAACCACTGCTTTCATAAAGTACAAGTGGGCCATTTAAACTGTTTCACCGCTGGTTAATGTACTGTATTGTGATCATTCTTTTTTTCCTATGGTACCTAGCTAGTGTTTTGTTTTTATTACAAATTCACCTACCCTTGTCTGCCGAGGAGAAAAGAAATTACACGACAGAGCCCCACAGCACATAAAACAGCAGAGATTCCTAAATAAGACCAGCCTGGAAGAGAAGCCTCTGCCTACCCGCACTGTAATGAAATGCATGACTACAGGAGATAATAATAATTGCAGCAATAGCTCGTTACAGCTCCCAGATGATTTGGTGCTGTCAGGAGTGCACTGTCCTCTTGACATCCCAGGAGGTGAGAAGCATCACTGACTGCAGGCCCTGATTGGTGCAGTGAAATATTGCTGGCAAAAATTAAAAGGTCTTGGTGTCAAAATAATTCATGATATGCATATCTTCCATTCTGATGAAATGGCTGATATCCGGATTAGCAAGATAATAAAACTGATCAGGCTACAGTTAAACAATTTAAGTTGGAGGGCTGTTCATTTTGTAGGTGTCACTTGTCAGATCAAGGGGTCAAAGCAGAATGAAAGGCTCTCCCCAGTAACCTTCTGATGATTTGGATCTGGAATGTTCTTCATGATTTGTCCAAAGTTTTCATCACAGCACTGCCGAAGAGCATTACCGCAGCAGGCTGCATTCTGACATTCAAATCCCAGGAATGACAGGTTATTAGGAGAAGAGAACCGGCTGTACATACATTAAGCCTCATATCTTTGACCTGTAATTTGAACTGATAGTGATATTGTAATTGAGTGAGTAAAAAGGGGGGGATTCTTTATTAAAACACAGGAAGATGAAGAAAACGTTTATTTTCCGGAGATTTATAGGTTCATAAAATAAGCCTTTTGATGATGATTTATTTTACAATTTTTGAAATGCTGAACTATGTGCTTAATATTTATTTGGTTGAACAGCTATTTAAAATAACACTGTCTCCCATCTATTTCCAGCTTGTTCTCCAGAACCTGTGTTTGCACAGATGGAAAGATATTTGTGTGATATTGGAGTTCATGTAGTGGAATAGTTCAAAGATTATTCTAATAAGATGTACCTATGGAAAAATACAGTGCCCGCTTAATGGCTATGGTGTTAAGGATCCCTTGGCAGATTTCTGCAGCTTGTGTGTAATGCACTGGGGTTTTTGAATCGTGATTACAAGGGATGGGGGAAAGTGGGAACTGCCTTCTGTGATGCTTTTGAATGGAAGGATGGCACATCTGAGAATTTAATGATGTTGTCTGGACTACAGCAAAGGGAAAGAACCACAGCCAACACTCACTTTGCCATCTCCCTCTGGGCATGGGTATTGATCTGGTCAAGAGGCAGCAAGGCTGGGCATTTGAGCAGAGGAGGTGACTTCGCTTCTTCAGTGTTTGGTCAGACTCAGTATCATCTTCAGGGTTCCCCCCAAGGGGAGGGGCACTTGGGCAAGATGCCTTCAGAGGTCTCTCTCTCCCTGAGTAGGCACATCTCATAGGAACATAGAAAACTGCCTGGTACTGAGTCAGACTATTGAGCTCAGTAACCAGTAGCAGCTCTTCAGGATTTCAAGCAGGAGCTCTACCTGTAGACACAAGGGATTGAACCTGGGATCTTCTGCATACAAAGCAGGTGCTCTTCTCCTGAGCTATAGCCTCTCTTCAAGCAACCTCCTCTGCTCAAATGCCCAGCATTGTTGCCTCTTGACCAGATCAATGCCCATGCCCAGAGGGAGATGACAAAGTGAGTGTTGGCTGTGGTTCTTTCCCTTTGCTCTAGTCCAGAGATGGCGAATGTGTGTTCTTCCAGATGTTGCTGAGCTACAAGTCACACCATCCCTGATCATAGCCTCTGCTGGATAAGGCTGATGGGATTTGGAGTCCAGTAGCATCTGGAGGGCCACAGATTGTCCAGCCCTGCTCTAGTCACTGTGCACTCATTTGGAGAGGGCCAGTAAGCAATCAGCAGTATCCAGGAGAGGGATTCATAGATTTAGGGGGGTCTGGGGTTATTAGACTTAGTCCGAGTATGGACTTGGTAGATGCCTGATGATGCCAGCCACTGAAACTAACCCTATCAGCACTCCAGGACAAATGTACCTCCTCTGTAACTTCTACACACCCCTTTGAGCCCTTTCTAGCCAGCTACAGTTCTCCTGTACTTTACAGGACAATTATTTTTTCAATGTAATGACCAAACTGACCTTTCAAGAGGTACATTACAGGCGGGATTAATTCTTATGGATATTCTGATTAGGAACATAGGGAGCTGCCTTGTGCTAGCCTTGCATTGGTTCAGGATTGTTCACACTCCCTGGCATTAGCTGTAGGGCAGCTGAGTGTGAGGAGGCAGGCAGACTCCTCAGAGGCCCCACGGAGCATCCTGCCCCAGCTCGCCCTGCCCCGCAGGCAGCTGGCCCTGTCCCCGGGTGCCACCCCAGGTGCCAAATCGGCTTGCTCCTCCATTGACCCCCTTATGCCCTAACAGTTCTTGCAAAACATGGGGGCAGTACAATGTGACTGCACAATGTGTTTGATTGAATTTAGCAAGATATGTTTAAGATTAAATTGGTTCTGCAAAATTGGCTTAAATCGTGAAATAAGCAAAATATTGATTCCTCCTTAAACTCAGCAATGCCTCCACCTGCTTTGTGATTTAAGGAACTGTATGATTTAACTAAAGCATCCTCCCAGTTCATGGAATCAACAACACCTTTTCTTGATTGCTAAATTGCATAAGATTTACAAGGAACATGGTCTAAGCTATTAAAATTCTTACGCTTCATGGCTGTCTTCATTTTATCTTAAGCCTATATTATGTGAGGAGGTATATACTCTGATTTCCCAATTCATATATAGGCTATAATCGAAAATTATTCGTCTTTATTGGATGAAAACCTGTAAGAATATTTGCTCTCTGAACAACACTGTCATTAACACTGTCACCCACGGTCTTGATAACAAACAGCCTTAATTTATCATTTGGGAATTCCAAAATATGTAAAAGGAAAATGTGCACATAAAACTATAATTGTGTTTAAAGTAATGGATCTGCAATGAAATCATATTCATAGTAAAAATAAATAATTGAAACCTAAGCAAATGCCTGACGATAACAGTATTTTTAATATGAGCCACGATTATCCCCAGGCTTGCTTAGAAAACAAGCAGAGCAAGCAAATACAATTTCCTTTTTAAAACACTTACGTATCAGTGCTACCTTAACTACTTCAGTGATCCCTGATCGGGATCAGCCGAGAGTTTCTTATTATGGTTAGAATACATAACTCACAACAGCATATTTTGTGATCTCCATGAAATTATTTTGATCTCAGCTGCCTGCTTTGCTTGTCTTAACAACTCTTTTAATTTTTCTATGCTGAATATTGTTGTTGTTAAGCCACTTTCTGCTTGCAATGCTTGGAGCGATTACGATCAGTATCACTGCTAATATCCTACCTAAGAGAACTGCTGTCACTTCTGTCTCAGCTGAATTAAGATACAGAAGAAACAGCAACACAAAAATCTCTTATTTTACCCAACTGGAGTTGGGTAAAGCCAGCTTCAAAAATATCGACTTCCTGCAGGGAAAGCACTGCAAAAGTATCAACTACCTACATGGAAAGCAGGTCTAACCCTATGCAGTATCTACGGCCTCAGGTGTAGGGCAAGTGGGTGTGACTTGCCCTAAATGGCCTCATGGGCCAAATGGGGACACCTAGTGAGCCAAGTTTGACCTGTGAGCCAGAGGTTCCCCAACCCTTCTTTAGGAAATAACATTGCAAGCCATGTATACCTTATGGTGAATGACAGCTGCCATGTAAACAGAACCAGTCCAAAGTTTTTGCTGCCTAAGGCAAGAGGCAAAATTTCACACCCTGTGTTCCACATATATAGTGTAACCTGAAGGGCAGCTGACTCTTGCTTCAACACTAGTGATGGGGCACCCTCCTCAAGTACACCCAAGGACAGCAGGCTAGCTTAGGGGGTTCAGAAGATCGGGAGGGCTGCTGCCCCTCTACCCACCCCACATCTATCATACCAAATGGTAGGGCTGGCTCTGTGAGCTACTTTGCCCCATGTACATGGGGTAAAATGGTTACAGTTAAAGTAGTTACATCCAGTCATCTGTATACCGTTTGAACAGTATTCCTTGCATTGATGCCGTTTCCATTTACTGAACTCATCATGTTTGAAACAGCCGTGAAGCTTCCTTGTTTTGATTTAAATTTAATGCACACTAAGAGCACAGTGTGCTGTTGTGTGTGTAGAAGTGAATGGTGCTTATTCTAAGTTTCTGAGTATTCTAACTTTCTGACATATCTTGTACTTATTTTCTAGAAAAAGGGGTGTAGAGGCCCATGTCTGTGAGAAATCGCCACCACTTGGTCTGAAAGCTCTACCTTTGAATCCTGAAGATGTGAGGGTTCTCTTGCAATTAAACAGTGTTGAGGAGAACATAGGTCTTTACCAGCTTTGGGTTACTTTCATGTTTTCTAATTTTGTATGTTCCAGAGTAAGCCCTGACGTTAAAAACTGATGGTGAGCTCTAGCCCGGATTAAACCTTCATTGTATCCACTCTTAACTTGTTAAGACTTTGGGAAGGAGGTGGCAGGCCTCTTAAAGGATGCTGCAGCCCTGCTTTCTCCTTCCCAAAGCTGGACAGGTTTTGGGAAGGTGGAGGGAGGGCTCTTGGAGCTCGTTGGAGCATCACACCTCCCTCCTTAGCTGGGCAGAAGCTTCCTGGGCTTTGGGAAGGAGGCTTCAGGCTTTAATACTGTAATACTCTAATTTACTAGGAACATATAAAGGACTAGCCTAGTCCCACTAGTCCACTGACCGCATGCCACTGGGCCCTTGGAATGTTCCCTAGGCCACAAGTCCTCTCCTGAGACCACCCCCTCATTGGCTTGCTTTGCACCTGTGTGTTTTGGCCCTTGAAGGCTTCTTGCTTGCCTAGGTGGAAGATAGAGAGGGATGTGGATTCTTTGTGGAAACTATCCTACTGTCCAAATGTAAAATTAAAATTTGTTGCATCAACCACTTTTGTCTCTGGCCCTGCCACAGAGAATACGGCCACAGAAGTTTGCCCAGAAGGGAACAAGGTCCTTGGACTGTTAATGGTTTTCCATCCTGCTCTACTCCCATTGGCTTACAATATGCTTTGTTTATTTGCGGCTGGATAGACAAAGATTGCACTCAGATATGTTTTGATTTTTTTTTTAACCCACGCTATTACTGGTAGAAACCCCAACCCAACAACAGTGATCCATACAACTTTTCCCACAGTGTTACATGCTATAGGGGAAACTGTACTCTGCAGGGATCCTGCCAGCATTGGCAGGATGAGGTAACCTCAATCCAATAAAGGTATTTATTCAAGGCAAGAGGTTAATGTTAAGCAACCTGGAATCTATTGCACAAAACACAAACTGGGGAAGATGGAACTCATCTTAACAACAATAACCTCTTGTTGAGCAACATGACAGGCGGTGTTGCAGAATATATTTCATAGGCCAGGGTGGAGCGGAAGGCAGCCAACTCACACTGAAAGTCAGTGTGGAAAAATATGACAACATTGTGAAAAAGGTGTGTCTAAGTAAAAAAAACCCAATAGATTGGATGGCATTTCTTTTAAAGCAGGGGATGGTCTGGTGGAACATAATGCATCTAGCTTGTGGACAGTAAGCAATTCTGGAATCTTGTCAGTGTCTGAATGCAAGTCCTCCAAGGAACCCAGGCATGGTGCCTTGTGTTACCTGTTGGATGAAAGGCAGGATATAATTAGGACTGGCCCAAAACATTTTGCTGCCCGAGGCATAGGTCAATATACCTGCACTCTGCTATTCCATGTACAGAAGGTGACTGGAATTGCAGTTGAATGTTATTTCAGTTCTGGTAATGTGATAGTGGGTTTGTTATGAGGATGCAGAACAGCTCACATGGCACCCATCTACCTGTCCTCCAACAGGGGTTACTGCCACTGGCCCTAGCATCTGCCACCTGAGTCTGTGGCCTCATTCTGCCTCACAGTAGGTCTGCTCCTAGGTATAGACATTGGGAATAAACAAATAAGGTTTCACATGATGTTCATACTGCTAGGATGTCTCACTAGGCTCATTCTCACCTTAGTGGCAATAAACCAAAGGGAGCTTGCTGATGGCTCCAAAATTCGAACTTTCCCTAATACCTTCTTCCTACAAGAGAGCAGGATGTGACGACAAGGACCTGCTTAGCAGACAACTGCCCTGTGCCTGGAGGTTACTTTGGCTGGACAGTCCATGATGATCCTTCCCAGGGCCAGTGGATGAAAGACTCAAATTCACAGGGCAGCATCAGCTTAGCTATGTTGTTCTTGTAAGGTAATCTTGTTACAGCTGCTTTAATCCCACCTCATTGCTTCCCTGCAATGTAGTTAAGGATGTGGGAGGCATTTCATTCAGTTCACATTTAAAGCTGAACCTACCTAATTTGCACTTCCTGAAACAATATGTGAACCAAAACAAAGCATCCACTGAAATTTGTACTTCTCTGAATTTTGCAATGCAGTTCTCCAGCTAAATAATGTGTACAAAAATGTATATACTCTCATATTATGAGAGTAAAAATGCACATATTAGTGAAAATAGCATAATGAAAATGCATTATATTAGGG